CAGGCATGTGCCACCATGCCCAGCTGATTTTTTTGTATTTTTAGTAGAGACGGGGTTTCACCATGTTGACCAGGATGGTCTCGATCTCTTGACCTCGTGATCCACCCTCCTCGGCCTCCCAAAGTACTGGGATTACAGGCGTGAGCCACCGCGCCCGACAGGTATTCTTTTATAAAGAGATGCACCTCATTCTTCAAAGATTAGCAGCTGAGCAGTGGACATGTTAACGTGGCTGGACCTGTATTAAAAATGAAATATTTCATGCTGCCCACTAGGGGGCATGCTGGCATCATCCCAGCACTACCCCTTTTTCATGTGATCTATTCCTAAACTCCAGAGCTCTTAGAATAATAAAGCAAAATCATAGTGTGAGCTATTTGAATAAAAGTTTCTATATTTAAGTGCCTATGGGTGGCAATATTCCAGAGGTGTTACGGATTCAAAATGGCTATTTTTATGAACTGTTGGTATTTAAAATGCAAAGCCATGCGAGCTCCAAAGAAATGCATGCAAAGCAAATTAGATGCATCAAAAAGCGGGGAGGAGGAGAATTGAAAGGGCAGAATTATTACAGAAGAACTACTAATGGAATTGCAAAATGTATTGAGAATTGGAAGAAAACTTACAAGCTACATTCTACTAAGGGTACCATTTCTTCATCTCCCCTCTGTCTACCACATTTTTAGTGAAAATAATATTAAAATCTCTGAGAGGGCTGTCTAGGGGGATTGTTTTGTGATTGACTGATATTAAAATAGAGTTCATTTTAGGCCAGGCTCAGTCACTCATGCCTGTAATCCCAGCACTTTAGGAGGCCGAGGTGGGTGGATCACTGTAGTCCAGGAGTTCGAGACCAGCCTGGCCAACATGGCAAAACCCCATCTCTACTAAAAATACCAAAATTAGCCAGGCATGATGGTGCACGCCTGCAATCCCAGCTACTTGTTGGGAAGCTGAGGCAGGAGAATCGCTTGAGGCCAGGAGGTGGAGGTTGCAGTGAGCCAAGATCGCTCCACTGCACTTCAGCCTAAGCAACAGAGCGAGACTCTTCCTCAAAACAAAAACAAAAACAGAATTCATGTTATTGTCAAAAGATGAGTTATTGATTTGCAAATGTGGTCATGCAAAATATGTTTTGTAGCTTACCAATGAAGACTGTGGCTTGTTCCCCAGAAAATCTGGTAGAAATGAGCTCTGAGGGGTCAGGGGCGTGTCCAGTGTTGTTCAGCCAGATAGTAACTGAGCCGAGACTTGAACCCAGAGCTGGATATGGTAATCATGCCTTGTTTTTCCCCCTTTTTCTTTTGTTTCCTGGTATTCTAGTCTCTCCAGTGCTTCTTGTGGCCTGAAATTAATAGGCTGTCTTCCTATTACTTGATTTTCAAAGCCCCAGAGTGCCACTACAGAATTGCGTCTTGTGTGTCACATTAGCAGAACACTCTTTTCTTTTTTTCTGTTCTTGGTAATCTCTCTGTTAATTTATTGTTTGTATGTTTCAAATTACTGTTTTTTAAAATTATTATTATACTTTAAGTTCTGGGGTACCTATGCAGATCGTGCAGGATTGTTACACAGGTATACACTTGCCATGTTGGTTTGCTGCATCCATCCCCCTGTCACCTACACTAGGTATTTCTCCTAATGCTATCCCTCCCCAATCCCCCCACCCCCTGCTATCCCTCCCCTAGCTCTCCCGTACCCCAACAGGCCCTGATGTGTGATGTTCCTCTCCCTGTATGTCCATGTACTCTCATTGTTCAACACCCACTTATGAGTTAGAACATGTGGTGTTTGGTTTTCTGTTCTTGTTTCAGTCTGCTGAGAATGATGGTTTCCAGCATAATCCTTTTGAGATGGCGTCTTGCCCTGTCACCCAGGCTAGAATGCAGTCGTGCAATCTCAGCTTACTGAAGCCTCTACCTCCCAAGTTCAAGTGATTCTCCCATTTCAGCCTCCTGAGTAGCTGTGATTACAGGTGCACACCACCATATGCCACACCCAGCCTCTTTTTTTTTTTTTCTTTTACAATATTTGTCTCTATCTCTCATTCAGATCTTGCCAGCTTTCCTAAAACTGTCATAACAAAAGGGAAAACAATTTTCTGTTGCAGCATCCAGTCCAGGATCTCATGTTGCGTTTAGTTGTCATGACTC